TTTCTAGAAGCTTGAGGTTCAGCATCAGGTTGTTTAATTGGGCTTGCTCTGTTTTCCTAGTATGTGTATTCATTGCTATGAATTTCTCTTGTAAGACTGCTTTCACTGTGTCCCATAGATTCTGATTTTTTTGTGGGGGGGTACTGGGGATTGAACTCATAGATTCTGATATGTTGTGTTGTCACTGTCATTTAATTGTAGGAACTGTCAGATTTCTTCTTTAATTACCACTGTGACCCATTGGTTATTCAGAAGTTCATTGTTCAATATCCATGTGTTTATGTAATTTTTGCAGTTTCTTTTGCTATTGATCTCCAATTTCATTGCACTATGGTCTGATACCATATAGGAGATAACTTCAATTCCTTTGCACTTACTTTAACACGTTTTATGAGTGAGTATGTGGTCTACTTTGGAGAACAACTTGTGTGCAGCTGAAAAGAATGTGTATTCTGACTTTGTGGGGTGTAACACTCTGTAAACATTTGTGAAGTTCATTTGTTCAAGAGTTTGATTGAGTTCTATTATTTCATTACTTTTTTTGCCTAGTTGATCTATCTAATTGTGACAGTGGGGTATTGAGTTCCCCCACTACTATTGTATTAGTGCATATATGACTTTTCATGTCCGTATTTGTTTTATATATTTAGGCGCACCAGTGTTTGGTGCATATATGTTTATGATTGTCATCTCTTCCTGTTGCATTGTTCCCTTTACAAGGATGTAGTGTCCTTCTTTGTCTCTATTAAACAGTGTTGGTTTGAAATCCACTTGATCTGCAAAGAGGATAGCTACTCCTGCTTTTTGGGGGATTCCTGGAGTATTGTTTATTTGGGAGGTTGCATGGAGTATTGCTTTCCACCCTTCTACAGTCAATCTATGAGTTTCTTTTTGAATTAAGTATGTTTCTTGTATGCAGCATATTGTTGGATCTTTCTTCTTGACCCATTCTGCCAGTCTATTTCTTTTGTTTGGTGAATTGAGACCATTAACATTGATGGTTATAACTGATACATATTGACTTATCATTGTCATGACTATTTCTTTTTGTTGGATTCTCCCCCTTTACATTTAATTTCTTGTTGCACCCAATGGATTCATTCTGCAGGGCTTCCTGGGGTTGTGATCCTCGTTGTCTGTTCCTAGGATATTATTTAAAATTTTTTGGAGTGCTTGTTTGGTATTCGTGAAGTTCCTAAGGTGCTCTTTGTCATGAAAGTATCTTATTTCACCATCAATTTTGAAAGATAGTTTTGCAGGGTACATCAATCTGGGTTGGAGGCTGTTTTCCTTTCGGGCTTGGAATATGTCACTCCTGTGATTCTGATGGGCTCTGCTTTGTATGTGATTTGTTTCTTTTCTCTAACTGCTTGTAGAACTTTGTTCTTCTGTTGGATTTCTGGAATCTTAACAATTATATGCCTATGTGTAGAGTATTTTTTTTTGATCAAGGCTATTTGGAGTCCTATATGCCTCACTTATCTGTATGTCAAGTTCTTGTCCCCTGCTTGGGAAGTTTTCTGCCATCACTCCTGTGAACAGTTTTTTTATGTCACCTGCACTCTCTCCTGTTTCTTCGTTGACTTCAGTCAGTCTTATGTTATTCTTCTTTGCATTGTCTAGCAGCTGCTGGGTTGACTTCTCATGGTCCCTTACAATTTTGAAGCAATTTTTCTTTTCCTGGTCACTAATTGCAATCTTATCTTCTATATCTGAAATTCTGCCCTCACATTGGCTCATTCTGCTGCATAGACTTTCAGTGGAGTTTTTAATCTCCTGGAAATCTGTTTGTATCTGTTTTATGGATTCCATTTGTTTCCTGTGTTGGGATTCCATCATGCTCCTTAGCTTCCCTATTTTTTTTAATCTATGTCCTGTCTAGATTT